AGAAGAGGGACAACATGGTCAGATCAGCCAAGGGCACCAGTCCAACCTAGTCCGCCCAAGACATTCTTTGTCTGGACTCTGAAAATCTTATGTCCTAGGAAACTGCTCGTTTCTGGGCAAACTGGTTTGGTTGATCACTCTGCAATTTGAGGGCGAGAAGTTAGGGAGAAGGACTGGAGGAGGAGGCCAAGAGGACTAGACTCTATACCATTTGTTTCCAAATTTGGCTGCACATTGGAATCACTAAGGGAGATTTATTATTTTTATTTTTGATACAGAGTCTTACTCTACTGCCCAGGCTGGAGGGCAGTGGTGCGATCTCGGCTCACTGCAGCCTCCGCCTCCCAGGTTCAAGCGATTCTCCTGCCTCAGCCTCCTGAGTAGCTGGGACTACAGGCACGCGCCACCATGCCCAGCTAACCTTTATATTTTTAGTAGACATGGGGTTTCATCATGTTGTCCAGGTTTGTCTTGAACCCCGGGCCTCAAGAGATCACCTACCAGCTCCAAAGCTGGCTCACAGTTGGAGCATCACCCGTGAGCCCTCGCCAATTCACCCCTAAAGGACTTGGGAAGAAGGAGTTCCAAGGAAAGGTGAGGGTGTCCAGGGTATGGAGGTCATCAGTGCAGGCCTAGTGACTGAGGGAGTGCCAGCCTGGCCTCGGCAGGGTCTAACCTACTCACCCACAGAGAAGTGGCTCTGGTGGAGAGGGTGGTCGTGTTCCACAGCATACAGGAGTTTGCCCACCAGGTTGTCATGGATCCGCTTCCGGTGGACACATAGGGCCAGAATGCCCAGGCCGTACTGGTAGTAGCTAGTGTGGGGGTGGCCCTTGTGATTGTGACCTGGGAAGGAAAAAAACCGAGGGGTTGCCTCTCTGCCCCCACTCAGGAGCCAGCCCCACCAGCACATGGGACCCCTGGTCCGCATTTTCCAACACACTCCTCTGGGTCACTGGATCCTTCATTCCTTCATGGCCTCAGCCCATACTGTGCTTGGAGGCACTGTGCTTGGAGGAAGCAGTAGACCCATGGCAAACGGAAGCTGTGTAGTTTGGGCCTCGACCACAGCAATTGCTCATGAGACTGCAATTGTAACGAGAATGCGGACCAAGGTCCATGGACCCAGCCACCCAAATACCACCCACATAGCAATGGTATTTGGGTGGCTGGGAAGTCAGGGCAAGATTCTCCAAGGAGGTGAGTATCGGTAGAGGCAGAACCAAGGGTACAGCAGGAGTGAACTGCATGAGGGGAGCCAGTCCAGATGGAGGGAACCTGTATGAAGAAACTGGCTCATGAATTGAGAGATGAAGGAGCCAGTGTGGCTGGAGCCCACAGAGGGCAGGTACGTGTGGGAGGCAGAGAATGGGTGGGCACAGCCCGGGGAGGAGGTAAGGGCAGACAGGCTGGGCCCTGGAGCAGTGAGGGGGCCCCTGCAGGGTTTAAGCAATGCCAGCAAGATCAGGTTTATACTGAAAAAGCTGGCTCTGGCTCTTGTGTGCTGGGTCAAGTCAGGACGGGAGAGCTAGTAGAGACAGACTAAGGCATAAGTCATAAGCAGACTGTCCAGTTGTCCTGAAGGTGGATAATCAAGTCAATCTTGGTGGCTTTCCAATACAAGACTTGCCAATAGGCTAGGCATGGTGGCTCATGCCTGTAATCCCAGAACTTTGGGAAGCTGAGGCAGGTGAATCACCTGAGGTCAGGTGTTCGAGACCAGCCTGACCAACATGGAGAAACCCCATCTCTACTAAAAATACAAAATGAGCCAGGCATGGCAGCACATGCCTGTAGTCCTAGCTACTCAGGAGGCTGAAGCAGGAGAATCTCTTGAACCCAGGGGGCAGAGGTTGTGGTGAGCCGAGATCGCACCATTGTACTCTGGCCTGGGCAACAAGAGTGAAACTCCGTCTCAAAAAAAGAAAGAAAGAAAGAAAAGACTTGTCCGTAGAGTGTGTGCACAGCAGGAAAGGCTGGAGGATCAAGGATGGCTCTGGGGACAGGTTCGAGCCTCTACGTGGACAGTGAGATAGGCAGAATGGAGGGTGCCGAAGAGGCCTGGAAAGAAAACCCAGAGTTCTGATTCTCGCTAAAGAATAGCATCTCATGAGCCCTCCAGGCTGCTCCCCAACCCCGCCGATGGTGTCCACTCACCAATGGCCCTGTTCTCATCCTCCAGGAAACGCTTGAGCTGTGAGATCAACCTGTCCCCCTTGCGGCCCCTGGCAAACTCACAGTTGGCTCTGAGAGCGAGCAAGTAGAGGGACAGCCGACCCATGGAAGGCTTGGCCTGGCAGTCGCCGTCATTCTCGCTGAAGGCAGACCTAGGACAAGGCCAGTTAATGCCTTGGTGAGAAAGTGCCACCCCGGTAAGCCTGGCTTGGAGCACCCCCCGTACCAGCATCACAAAGTGGAAAAAGTCTTAACAGTGGGAAGCTCTGAGAGAATCAATGGAAGTAGGTGTGTTGGCTATGTTGTGAGGCATATGCCACAAATATCTAATAAAGATGAACGATGAGACTCACGGATAAACTCCGAGGACACCTGCATCCAAATCATCTATGCCCGCCCCACTATTTTGTCCATACTTCACCCACAGTCCCCCTCCTTTCTTTTTATTTTACTTATTTTTATATTTTGTTTATTTTCTTTGAGACTGAGTTTCACTCTTGTTGCCCAGGCTGGAGTTCAGTGGTGCAATCTCGGCTCACTGCAACCTCCACCTCCTGGGTTCAAGCGATTGTCCTGCCTCAGCCTCCCAAGTAGCTGGGACTGCAGGCACATGCCCCTATTCTCAGCTAATTTTTTTTATTTTTAGTAGAGACAGGGTTTCACCATGTTGGCCAGGCTGGTCTAGAACACCTAATCTCAGGTGATCCACCCGCCCTGGCTTCCCAAAGTGCTGGGATTACAGGTGTGAACCACCGCGCCGGCTTAGGGCCTCCATTCTATAGATGGAGAAAATTTTGCCTAAGGTCTGCCAACAATGCGGTGACAGGCCCAAACTAGAACCTAGGTTTCCTGTCTCTTAGCATGTGGAGCAAGACATGGAAAAAGGAGAGTGTGGCAATACCCTGGGAGGCACTGCTGGTAATCAAGCTTGAGGCTGCGCAGGTAGAGCTTCTCCTTGGTCCCACCCTGCACGCTGGAGAGGCGCAGCCCCACATAGACGCTGGGATTCAGGTGATCCCGGGAAAGCCGGTCCATCCAAGGCAAGAGGCGCTGGCCCAACTTCTCTACCAGCTGGATGTCCACTTCTGGTATTTCTTAGGAAAGAAAATGGTGCAAATGAGGTCGCGTGGTGTCTCACGCCTGTAATCCCAGCACTTTGGGAGGCCAAGGTGGGTGGATCACCTGAGGTCAGGAGTTCAAGACCAGCCTGACCAACATGGAGAAACCCTGTTTCTACTAAAAATATAAAATTAGCTGGGCATGGTGGTGCATGCCTGTAATCCCAGCTACTCAGGAGATTAAGGCAGGAGAATCGCTTGAACCTGAGAGGCAGAGGTTGCAGTGAGCAGAGATTGCGTCGTTGCACTCCGGCCTGGGCAACAAGAGCCAAACTCCGTCTCAAAAAAAAAAAAACGAAGTGCTTCGATATTACCAGGGCCTTCCCCAGGGAATACATGTGCTCACTCCCACCTCGACCCAGCACACACCAACTTCCAGGGAGAAATGCACACACTGAAAGGCAGTGGGAGGGGGAAAACAGGGAAGCAGGTATTCCAAAAGAGCAGTTGGAGCGCGCCAGCGAAAGAAGTGTTGGGCTGTAGAGGATGCTATTGCCAGGCCACCACTCTGCCCATCAGGGGCGACAGTGAGACGAATGCCAAGCTTCGGGGTGTGCCAGGCACCATGCCCAATCTCACTTGGTCCTCATACCAGTCCTGTGACATAGATACTGTCATCATGGCTTTGCACAAAAGAGGAAACAGAAGTTCAAAGTTGTGTCACATCTTACACGAGGCTGCAGAGCCAAGGATGCAAAGATGGACAGAAGTGCAAAGCCCCTGCTCTCTGGTGCCCGGCTGAATGTGTGTGCCGCCCGTTTACAAAAACATCAGCCCACAGGCAGAACATGTTACACACTGAATTTTTACTTTTATTTATTTATTTATTATTATTTTTTTTAAAGACAGGGTTTCACCATATTGGTCAGGCTGGTCTCGAACTCCTGACCTCAGGTGATCCACCTGCCTCAGCCTCCCAAAGTGCTGGGATTACAGGCGTGAGCCACCGTGCCCGGCTCCACCCTGAATTTTTAAACACTGCAGACTGCCAGCTGGTGGGTTGAGGTTGCCTGGTAAACTTCCTCTACGCAGATCTCAAAATAACGCTTTTCCTGCCATCTCCGTTTAAGCGAAGAAGACCTGAGACTATGAGATGAGCTCTTAGAAAACAGTCACAGCTTGCAGCCATTTACCTGTTGCTGTGGGATTTATTTGAAGCTGTGAAACCAAAATACTCCAATACCCTGGAAGTAGAAGCCTTAGGGATAGTTCCAAGGGACCTGAACTCAGCAGATGGTAGCTTAGAGTAGTTTGCCTTGGAGGCACCTTGGACTTTCTGTCCCCGTTTACTGCCTCCCAGTTGCTGGTGGGATCCAGCTGCCTGATGGTGGCCTCCACTGTGCCATATCCCAGGGGACTAAGAAAAGGAGCTGCTACAAGACACCTCCTGAGCCTCCTGGTGCGAGGACCAGAGCTCCTAGAACATAGCTCCATCTCTGTGGGTTTGGGTCCCACCACCTTGTATCGGTTTTCCTGACAGTCCCAGATATCTGCTGCTGTTTCATCCACTAGCATGAAATCCTGCATAATCCTCTGCTGTGTGTGCCCAGGCCAGAGCACATGGCTGGTTTCTCACCAGCTGTGAATGGACAGAGACTAGGGGGTTGCTTTTTTCCCTTTCCCTCACTCAGGGCCATTTTTGGTATCTGTCTCCATGTCTCTGTCTCTCTCCCTCAATCTCTCTAAGGCTCTCTGGGTCTGTCTCAGTCCTCCTCCCTTTTCCTGAAACTTGGGAGTTCCCTGACCTCACCCTGGGCTCTCACCTCCAGCACGATGAGTCAGCACAGGGTTAGAAACTGAAAGTCCAGGACCTGGCTGTAAAGGGAGATCGACAACCACAGAGCAGCCTCCTTAGAAGGAGGGGGCCAGGCAGATTCACCCAGGGTGATAAAAGCAGCCTTGGGTGAGCTCTCCCCCTACCAGCTCAGCCCTGCCAACTAAAGGCTGATTGCTGTTGACATTCACAAGCACAGGAGCTGGGTGGAGTGATTCACACCTATAATCCCAGCACTTTGGGAGGCCAAGGTGGGAGGATCGCTTGATCCTAGAAGTTTAAGACCAACCCCGGGCAATATAGTGAGACATCGCCTCTATAAGAATATAAAAAGAAGAGGAAGAAGGAGGAAGAGGAGGAGGAGAAGGAAGAAGAGGAGGAAGAAGAGGAGGAGGAGGAGGAGGGGGAGGAGGAGGGGGAGGAGGGAGAAGAAGAAAAAGAAGCACAGGAGCCCACTTTGCATCAGCATTTGTGCAGCAATCCCTGTCAATTTCACAACATACATACAGAGCTTTAAGCTGGGAAAGCAGGTGTCACAGGATCCTCCCTTGTACTACACCAAGGAGGAAGGCAGGGGAGTACTCTTAGCCCATTTTACAGATAAAGGAATGAAGCTGGGTATGATTAAATGACTCAGCACAGATATTTGCACCCCCAACCCCAGTTCGAGCTACCCCAGACCCCAAGGGACAGGGGCTCCTGTGGGGTCAGGCTAATGGACTAACTGTCCAAGGCTGAGGACCAGGTCAGCCAGGTCTGCGGGAGGGAAAGATCTCTGAACCCAGATCTCCCCTGGGGACTGTCCGAACAAGAACCAAGAGCTGGGGTTCCCGGGCCTAGACCTGAGGAGTCTGATTGCATTTATGGAACACAGATGAGAGACTTGGAGTTCTGGTTGGGCGTGGTGGCTCACACCTTAATCCCAGCATTTTGGGAGGCTGAGGCAAGAGTATCACTTGAGCCCAGGAGTTTGAGACCAGCCCAGGCAACATGGCAAAATCCTGTCTCTACAAAAAATGCAAAAATCAGCCGGGCATGGTGGCGTGCACATGTAGCCCCCAGCTACTCAGGAGGCTGAGGTGGGGGGGGATCACTTGAACCCGGGGCCGGGGAGGTTGCAGTGAGCCAAGATTGTGCCACTGCACTCTAGCCTGGGCAACAGAGTGACACCCTGTCTCCAAAAACAAAACAAAACAAAACAAAAAAAAGAAAATGAGACTTAATATTCTAAAAACTAAGTTCAGCAAAGCTCTGGTAACGCTGACGCACCCCGAGCGGGTCACTCAGCCCCTCCCACTCCTGACTTCTTCACTTGACAACTGGACACGACTGCACCTGCCTCTCAAAGTTTCCCCAGGGTCACAAGAGACCACGGTGGTGAAAGTGTATTGCTGAGCATAATCCTAGGTGCAGAGGAGGGGGAAAGAGACGTGGGCAGCCCCGAGTCCGGAAGCCTTTCTTCTGCCTCCTGTCTGACCCCACCCAGTGCATGAGCTGCCCTGAACCTCCAAGCTCAGACTCACAGACAGGTCCCAGGAGGTAGGTGAACCTTCAAGCTCAGACTCACAGACAGGTCCCAGGTGGCAGGTGCTCCAAGAGACCCCTTGGAGCACAGAGTTGGAGCAGGCAGGGTCTCCGAATGTTCATTTCCTGCTGCCTAGAATGCGTGCCCCCCCCCCCCACTCCTTTCCTGCCAGCTCCTTTTCTTCCTTCGAGTCTCAGCTCCCATATGCCCTCCTGGTCCTCAGAAAGCCTTCCCCGTGCCCAGCTATTTTTTAAATTTTTGTAGAGATGGGGGTCTCCCTATGTTGCCCAGGCTGATCTCGAACTGTTGAGCTCAAGCGATCCTCCTGCCTCAGCCTTCCAAAACACTGGGATTTCAGGCGGGAGCACCTAGCCATTGATTTCTTTTGTCTGCCTCCTTTCCCTAGAACACAAGCTCTAGAATGGCAGGGATTAGACCTGTCTCACGTTTTGCACATTCCGCAAAGGCTAACACTGGGCCCGACTCAGAAAAGGCTCAGTAACTATGTGCTGAATGAATGTGTGAACGAATGACTGAATTAACGGAGGAGCTCCTGAGCTCCTGTCTGGTGAGGAGTCATAGACTCAATCGTAATACGATGTGTTAAATGCTGAGGTCCAGCTAAGCCCAAACTGCTATGGGAGCCTAGAGGGGAAGATAAGTTCCCCCATCCTATGCCCGAGCCACCCTCCTGAGGACCCAGGAGGAAAGAGCACAGGAGAGAGGCGAGTTACTCACCACAGATGTCAGTGAGGGCCCCCAGGACCCCCAGAAGGAAGAGGAAGGCCCCAAGGTGCCTCATGGCAGCTGCAGGTGGGTGAGTCTCTCCTGACCACAGCCGGTCACTCTCCTACCTAGAGAGGTAGGTTCCTGTCACTGATTAATCCTCCACTCTCACAATGCGCTGCTCAGTCAGCAGAGAGAAAGGGGAAAAGGTCTGTTGTGGCAACGAAGAGAAGGCCAAAGAACAGAGGAAGGAAGGGCAGAGCAGCCTTCCTGGAGGCAGGCGACAAAGGGAGGAGGAGGACCCGTGGGACCATGTGAGACATATTGAGGCCATCCACGTTCCTGCTTAAAGAGCCCCGGACCAGCGCAGAGGGGCTGACGTCTGGAGACTGATGTCTACCCAAGTCTGTCCGACCTTGCCTGGCTGCTCTCCCCTTCGCTGTTCCAGTGGTGGAACGACAGGACCGGGTGCCCACCTGATACTCCTTACAGAAGGAGCCCCTGGTAAGTGCCCGCCTAGCCCGGGACTAGGAGTAGAACGGGGAGGTGCAGCTGTGGCGGTCACGTGAGCAGCATTGCTGGCGTCAGCTGTTCTTCAGCACCGCCTCCTGCCCCGGTTGGGGAGCCCCTGGTCCCCAACCAGCGGGCCGCTTTTCTCAACCAATCCGAGAGAGCTAGGAGCCTCCTGGAGAGGACAAAACAAATTAAAGAATGGGATTAAGGGCGGGCGCGGTGGTTCACGACTGTAATCCTAGCACTTTGGGAGGCTGAGGCAGGCAGATCACTTGGGCCCAGGAGTTCAGATCAGTCTGGAAAACCCCGTCTCTCCCAAAAAATAAAATAAAAAATAAAAAATTAGCTGGGCATGGTGGCGTGTGCCAGTAGTCCCAGCTACTTGGGGGGCTGAGGCAGAAGGATTGCTTGAACCCGGTGGTGGAGGCTGCAGTGAGCCAAGATCACACCACTGCACTCCAGCTTGAGTGACAAAGTGAGACCCTATCTCAAAAAAATAAAATAATGGGACTGAATCAATTGAGACACAAAGCTACGGAAAGCAGGGCTACTTGCCAGAACTAAGAAAGCAACCTCAAAAAAAAATCTCTGCAAACAGGAAAGAGAACAAAAGATTCCTCACCTGCCAAGCCCCACAGGAAAATCAATGTATATGAGTTAACTAGTGGCAGCTGTATGACCTTAGCCAGGTCCCTTAACCTCTCTGAGATTAAATAGTTCTTCCCGTCTGAGATGCGAGGGTTAGGCAAGATCATTCTAACAGCTCCCGTTCAGCTCAATTTGTGAAGACATTATGACTTTAAAACACTCTAATCATTTCCATGTGCAATCTGCATTGCATATTTTATGGCAAATTGCCAAGGTTCGCTCCTTTAAGATATCTGTTTTGAGCCTGACATCACCAGCCAAGCTCTTGACATATATACATCCAGCAGCGTGCGTCTGTTTACGGAAGTACTCGAAAATTTTAAATGATAGGTTGTCCTGTCAGAAAGGCAGAATGTGGCCACTAGGAGGAGCACCTTTGGAGGTTCTGAGGAAGGAGGGAGGCTAGTGGGGAGCCCAGCTTCTGCAGAACTGCACATTTAGACCTTCGGGGAGCCACAGTGAATTGTATGCAATGGAGCCCCCTTGGTCCTGGGTGAGACTGCCTTGGCTCCCCCAACCCTCTGCCTGTTTCCAGTAACACCGATTATGATTCCTGCTATTTCCAGGAGGGCAGCCTGGAGGAGGTGGCCATGGAGACTAGCCTTCGTATCATCGGCCTCTGGTGAGAAGCCCAGCGTCCTTCCAGAGAGTCACTTCTGATCCCCAAGGTTGTGAGGGTGTTGAAGTAAAGGAGAGAGACGCCCCCCTGCCTACCTCCGTGGACTCAGTGCCAGAGGATTGGGGAGTAAGGAGAGGAGGACATCATATTTCCCATACACATTAGAAATGTAATCCCAGCACTTTGGGAAGCCACGGCAGGAGGACTGCTTGAGCCTAAGAGTTTGAGACCAGTCTAGGCAAGATGGTGAGACTCTGACTCTACAAACAAAAACAAAAACAAAAAAACTCCAGGGATGGTGGTGTGTGGTGTAGTCTCAGCCACTCCAGAGGGTACAGGTGGGAGGATCACCTGAGCCCAGGAGTTTGAGGTTGTAGTGAGCTGAGATCAGACCACTGCGCTCCAGCCTGGCCGACAGAAGGAGATCCGGTCCTAAAAATAAAATAAAGTAAAATAAAATAAAGAAATAGAGTGACTGGTCAGGGGTAGAACTATTTTAGGTCATGTGGTCGGGGAATGTGAAAAACTAAAATGATTAACTCATTTAGATCAGGATTTCTATTTTTTTTATTTTTGAACTCCTGGGCTCAAGCGATCCCCCTGTCTCAGCCTCCCAAAGAGCTGGGATTACAATGAGCCACTGCACCTGATGAGATCAAGATTTCTATTTGTGGTGAAAACTAGCTTGGAATGAGAAAGTCAAGTCTGCCTGTGTTCCCTCTAGATGGGGACAACACGGACCTCTAAAGCCAGCTGCAGCTTCAACAGGAAACATTTTTTTTTTAAGAGTCTGCTCTGTCGCCCAGGCGGGAGTGCAGTGGTGTGACCTCGACTCACTGCAACCTCTGCCCCCCAGGTTCAAGTGATCCTCCCGCTTCAACCTCCCGAGTAGCTGGGATCACAGGCAGGCACCACCACTCCTGGCTAATTTTTGTATTTTTAGTAGAGACGGGGTTTTGCCATGTTGGCCAGGTTGGGCTCA